AGGAGATTGTTTCTGCTGAGTCCTTTGTTACCTCCTTCTCACAGTGTATTCGACAACCTTATTGGTCTTACCTGAATTCTGACATGGGACAACCTTCTGTAAGCGACAATCAATCCTTTCGACAGCCTGACAGGGGCATACAATTGGCACGGACCACGGACTTTCTTAAACGATTACGGTGGTCGAGAATACTATGGTTGTTTTCCTTGAAAACAGTAAACTTTTTTACACTACCGAAGTTGAACTATACGAGTTTATAAAAGAAGCCAATCCTCGCACTACATGTTTACAGTCTGGCTGAAATTTTTTACGTTTTATTATATTTATCTGCATAGGCAAATTGCGCGGACGCCTTTGCACACAATATGGCAGTCGCGTTTTCGCTAACTAGCCATGTCCTCGTTCTGAAAGATGTTGGACTTAGAAACGTCGAGAAGGCATTCCCAGCAATCCAAAAATATGTAAGTTCAAGCAAATGCCATTACCATTTTTAAATGCCCTATACATGTTTTACTCGAAGTACGCACTTGTAACTTTCATATTATCTCACCAACAGTTTGGAGAAATATTCTTCCTTATGCAACATTTGCAGAGCTTTATGAGTACATTGTTCACGAACTCTATATTCATTTTGTTTATACAGATAACAGTTGGCGGCAATAACTTGTAAGTTTTTACACTCATATTAATTTTTTTTAAAAGAAGTAACAACAAATCTGCCGCCTTTATCTTCGAGCTGCAAAATCCTTTCAAAGGGACACAGACCTCTCCAAAAAAGGAACTTTTAAGTCACTCCTGCCAACCTAATGAAAAGATCTGCCGGGTAAGTTTCATTAAACTGTCGTCCACAGTGTGACTGCATTTATGATTCTCGGCATACTGCTATTTTATCTAGCGGGTTTCCTGCGTCCGTAGATACAGTCTGCTCCATTTTGAACTTTAAATTTCACAAATATTTTTCTCTACATTGCTTATCCCTCCATATAGTTTAAACTGCTGAAACTGGCGTCTGCTGTGATTTTGCCCGTGGAGATTTCGCTTGTCCCTTCGGACGCTTCTGCCGACAGTTTCTTCGATATTCTCCTGTGGAATTTGGTCAATGCGTCCTCAGATATGTCTGACATTGTGACAGTGCCGATTTCATAGGCCCTGAGGATACTCGTGGATATCTTTTTGACTACCTCATTAAGATTGTCCATATTTTTTTAATTTTATATAATAAAAAATGCCAGGGGTTTAGATTTCTTCTCTCTACGTCTGAAGACGAAGTGGGGTCTCCAGCTTCGATAATTCACCTAATAAACCATCGTTTCCCAAAGTGCCTTTTTCCACATAATTATACTTCTTGGGATGCCGATTTTCCAGTTAAGATTTCTTCTGTTCTTGCAAGTAAGTCAAACACGTGGAAGGCATACATATCAAGGAAAACCTATTTCTGCCTATAATGTGGTAGAAGATGAGCGACTGTTCATTTGTTTCCAGAACGAGTCCCAAGGCTCAACACAACGGAACGAATGAATACCGTACCGATCAGCTAGCGCTCATCTACCATTGCGTATATCCCCGATCGAAACTGGTAAGTCGCAAACCCTTGGCTGTGTGGTTATAGCGTTGGCCTTCCAACAAAAAATGTGGCGGGCTCGACATTGAGGTTAGCTACACGTGGGTTTGTTTATGCCTGGTTATTGAGGGCTCTCAAGCCAATAATTGACATAGCAGTTTTCTTTGTCTTTGTCGGTAATACATTT